GGTGGTCATTTCAACAAGAGGAGGGGCGGAGAAGTCAGGATAAAACAGCTTTTTTTTTTACACAATGAAGAGGATTAACCCCTTAGGTTCCACAGTGAGTATAACAAGCATGCTTTACTGCATGTACAGATTGATTTTACTGTTGTGGGTTTAGCAATACTTTAGGTCATGTGACAGCATCTCAATCGGAGTTAAGTCTGGACTTTGACTAGGCCACTCCAAAACCTTAATTCTGTTTTTTTTCAGCTATTTAAGGGTGAACTTGCTGGTGTGTTTCGGATCATTGTCCTGCTGCATAACACAAGTGCACTTCAGGTGACGAACTGAAAAAATTGGATAATCACAGTTCATTCATGATTTGGCAAGAGGATGAGAGGGGCAATTACTTTTTCACATAGTAAACTTTTTTCCCATAAATCATCATTGAAAAACTGCACTCTATATTTACTCAGGTTATCTTTGTGTAATAATAAAATCTGTTTGATCTAAATCATTTAAGTGAGACAGATATGCAGAAAACAAATTCAGGAAAGGGGCAAATGCTTTTTCACAAAACTGTGTGTATATCTATCTTTCTTTTTATCTATCTATCTATCTATCTATCTATCTATCTATCTATCTATCTATCTATCTATCTATACAGCGGCATACAAAGAAACCAAAACAAATAGGTTCAGGAATGAAGTTATTTGTAATTAAATGGAATGACACAGGGAAAAAGCATTGAACACGCTAACTGACATTTATTTAATACTTCGTACAAAATCCTTTGTTGGTAATGAGAGCTTAAAGATGCCTCCTGTATGGAGAAACTAGTCGCATGCATTGCTCAGGTGTGATTTTGGCCCATTCTTCCACACAAACAGTATTCAAATCTTTAAGGTCCGTGGGCCTCTTCTGTGAACTCTGAACTTTAGTTCTTTCCATAGATTTTCTATTGGATTCAAGTCAGGTGATTGGCTGGGCCATTATAGCAGCTTTATTTTCTTTCTTTGAAACCAATTGAGAGTTTCCTTGGTTTTGTGTTTGGGATCATTGCCTAGGTGAAATGTCCACCCTCGTTTCATCTTCATCATCCTGGTAAATGGCAGCAGTTTTTTATCAAGAATGTCTTGGTACATTTTTCCATTCATCCTCCCTTCAAGATGCCAGTACCGTATGCTGAAAAACAGCCCCACATCATGTTGTTCCCACCTCCAGACTTCACTGTTGGTATGGTGTTTTTGGGGTGATGTTCAGTGCCATTTGACCTCCAAACATGGTGTGTATTATGGCATCCAAAGAATTCAAGTTTGGTCCAGGGGCGGACTGACAAATCATGGGGCCCCTGGGCAATAGGGGATCATGGGGCCCCTGTTTCCTTGCCCAAACTCAAAAAAGCCCATGAAAAAGGTACCAGGGGCATCTCATGGGGTCCCCTACTGACCCCGGGCCCTTGGGCAGTGCCCGAGTTTCCAAATGGTCAGTCTGCCCCTGGTTTGGTCTCATCTGACCAGACTATATTCTCCCAGTATTTCACAGACTTGTCTAAATGTTGTGCAGCAAACTTGAAACGAGCTTCAACATGCTTTTTCTCCAGCAATGGAGTCTTGCATGGTGATCATGCATACAGGCCACGTTGGTTGAGTGCATTACTTATTGTTTTCTTTGAAACAATTGTACTTGCTAATTCCAGGTCTTTCTGAAGCTCTCTACAAGTGCTCTTTGGCTCTTGGGCAACTCTTCTGATAATTCTTTTCATTCCTCTATCATAAATCTTGTGAGGAGCACCTGGTCATGGCCGGTTTATGGTGAAATTATGTTTTTTTCCACTTCCGATTCTGGCCCCGATAGTGCTCACTGGAACATGCAGAAGTTTAGAAACCCTTCTGTAACCAATGCCATCAGTATGTTTTGCAACAATAAGGTTGGGAAGGTCTTGAGAGAGGTCTTTGCTTTAACCTATCATGAGATGTTTTTGTGTGACACCTTGGTAATGAGACACGTTTTTATAGGCCTTCCGTTGAGACTGAACCAGCTGATACAAGTTTGAACTGGCAAGGAGCAGGATTGCTTTTTAATTACTGATAGATTTCAGCAGGTGTCTTGGTTTTCCATGCTTTTTTGCATCTCCCTTTCTTCATGTGTTCAATACTTTTTCCCTGTATCATTCCATTTTATTAAATATAACTTAATTTCTGAACTTATTTGTTTTGGTTTCTGTGTATGTATAGATTGCATGAGTTGTTGTCGACATATGGTGCAAATTTCATGTCAATAGCACCTTTAGAAATATATTTCTAAAGACTTTAGAATTGGCTAGGTCAAAGAGATGGAGGAACTGGTACATATCAGCAGGGAAACTATGCTGTCACATATTGAGAAATGAACCATTTGGTTTCTTTTTAAAGATTCAGATTTATCTCTCCCTTCCACCAGTATACAATACTGCCAAGAAATGCCCCCATACCCACCCTCTTTTTTTTTTGTTATGTCTTGTTATCAGACCTATATTGTGTCTGTATACACCATTACCCCTGTGATTTCTTTCTCTCCCCAATATACAGACTACAGCTACAACTTAGTTATATTCTTTATTTCTTAACCGTCCCATATAGGCAACCTCTACCCCATGACAGGTCCCCTTTCCATTCACTTCCAAATGGTGTAGAGGGTTATCCATTCCCACCCTGCAAACCGGACTTTATAAAAACCTAAATGGAAACCTGTTCATACATTATAAATGGTTGATTTCTCTACTTATTTACTTAAGGCAACACAGGTGTTCACTTGACTGTTAATTTTTAATGTATATGTAATAGAATGATACTGTGTTGTATGGGCTTTTTTTTTCTCGGAAAATAGGTGCAGTAACTCCCCCCTTCTGAATCACATTTTGTTTATACCCCTACCCACCTCCAAGCAAGGTCCCTTGATTCATGAAACCCACAGTACTGCTCCTTATAAAGAATACACAGCCAAGTATCGTTTTGAAGTAATTTGTATGGAATGTGTCAATGATAACAAGAAAAGCAGTAAAATAGATCTCCCGCAGCCAGTAGCAACAGACCCCCAGCAACAATAGATCCCCAGCAACAATGGATCCTGGCAACACAATACCACCACAGGAACAATAGACCGCAGCAGAAACAACAGATCCCCCAGAAGCCAGAGTCAATAGACTCTACAGCAGTCAGCAACAACAGACCCCTCTCTCAACAGTAGATCCCTCCCAGCAACAATAGATCCCCAACCAACAACAACAGACCTCCCAAACAACAATAGACCACCATGCAAAAATATATCCCCCTCCAGTGACCATATAAACCACAGCAGCCAACATCAATAGACTTTCCAGCACCTCTTGCCATTACATACATTCAATCCTGGAGGTGCTTTGTTCCCCCAGGTTCCCACTGAAAAAAACCCTGGAGTTGCAGGTCCTCTTGTTATGTTAAGCTACATTGTGTTGAATTCTTTAAACACTTTACAGGAAAAAAAAAACAATAATGAGTGAATAACCCTGAGTGATCAGTATTTACTGCTTATCCTACTTATGTTATCTTGTCAATTCAGAATGGGTTCATTAGTCACAGGTGTAGACTTGCTTCTGTCATTATTCAATATTCTAGGATATGGATGAGGAAGATTCTCTGACCATGAGAGTATCATGCCTCATGAAATTATTATTATTATTATTATTATTATTATACAGTATTTATAAAGCGCCAATAGTTCGCTCAGCACTGTACATTACAGAGGGGAACAGAACATGTGACAGAACAATACCAATACAATGCAAAACATGAGGGGATCAAGGGCCCTGCTCTTTCGAGCTTACAATCTAGCAGATCATTTCATATATGACAGTCTGTAAATCATAACATGTATTACCCTCCAAACCCATAGTATGAAGTCCTAAAGAAGATTCACTATTAATATTATATAAAATATTAAATATTACTACTAGTAATACAAAATATATTTTGTTTGCTTTACATTAGTTTAGATTATTATTTTGCAAAAGACATGGTTTCCTTTGTATAGTTCTGAAAGTACCGTATATATTTTATGTTCAAGGCTTTGCTATTTGTATGCAAATTAAGCATGGCCCCAAGTTTTCATTGCAGAGGCATCTGTTCATTCAGCTTTCCTGTTATCATCTCTGAGCGGTAATGCCCATCTGCTCTAAAAACAACCCAAATGATCCAACATAATAACATGTTGAAAGGAGCATATACAAATATGTTAGCACTGACTACAGGACCATTTATAAAGATCTGAAAAACAGACTCTGTGCCCCAGGATACCAACATGGCAAATGTACAATATGAGTTAGTAACCCCAGAGTTGCTGGGCCCCCAGTAGGGCCCTTGTAGAGAACATCTAAGCTTCACCTGCATCAGGCTGCACCCATCAATGCAAAAGAGCCAAACGCACAAGATCACACTGGGACTGCTGCATGTAGGGGTCAGAGAACCATATAAGCAGCAAGCTTTTTCAGACAGCCTTATAAGAGGTCATCATCACCAGTCCTTATCCCAACACTAGTTGTATGCCTTTTAACATGAGTAGCTCCAGTCTGTTCAACACCGTAGGTACCAAAGGAGACAGTGCAGTCCTTGTGGAGTGGGGTTTATGTGCAATCTGCCTCTGTCACTTTGGACCCCCTAAAGTGTTACTAAACCCACAACAGTAAAATCAGCCTTTATATGCAGTAAAGTATGCTTGGTATACTCACTATGAAACCTAAGAGGTTAATCCTCTGAATTGTGTAAAAAAAACATTTGATCCTTTCTTCTCTGTTCCTCCCCTTTTTCAAGCGACCACCATCCCCAGACTGAACCATAGGCATGCACATGCTCAGTTTGGTGTGTAATTTTTTTGGGGGGGCGGAGAGCATGTGATCAGCACAGGGCCAATCAACACTATCCAGACAGAGGTCAGGGGATATGCATCCTCCTAAAGCACTCCACCTACAAGTTTTAGCTAGTGGTGGGCTGGACACAGATAGAAGTTACAAGACTGCTCTAAGTTCTGATGAGACAAGGTATTCAGCAGTTTATATTTACTAAAATAATTGCATTTCCATGTTGTGTGTACTGTGGGAGACCAGATATAGTGAATGCAGGGTCCTGGGTTTAGTAACACTTTAAGTCCTCATGCACACTTGACAGCGGCTGTTTTGGGCTTTTGACATTTTTTTCTACAACCACTAAACCCCCCAGCATGTTATTCTATGTGTCCATGCACACATAGACTGTAATTGTTTTTTGGCTGGAAAAAACCCCCCAGAACTAGTGGGTTTCTAGAGGAGTTTTTTAGCTGTAAAAACGCTCTAACACTGAAAAACACAGTAAAAAGGCCCAAACCGGCATGTTTGGAAGTGTTTGGACCAAAAAAAAAGCTAAAACCCGCAAAACAGAAAAACGCTGCTAAACGCCAATGTAAAAACGCTAAAAAAAGGTGAAAAACTCAAGTTTTTAATGTGACTTTACACAGCTAGCATTATCAAAACGTCCAGTGTGCATGAGGGCTAACAGAGAAGTGGAAGCAAAGCTCCAAGACAGGGAAATTGAGGACTTTACTTGAAACACAACAGAGCTATTTGTAGGCAACTTATGCTATCTGCATTTAAGCAGCTAAAGCCTAGTACACATGATCAGAAAATCGTACAAAAATACCGCTTTCAAAGTGATTGTACGGTTATCTATTTGCTAGTACACCGTTTTTGTCCAAAATTATTCATAGGGACAAGCAGGAAAATTTTCATGTACGATACTAGATCGTACGATTTTCATTTAATCAGTACAGCTTTCTTTCAAAAATACAAAACAAATAAAATACAATACATTATATCACTTCGCAATTTGTATTCTGTCATACAAGAATTATTGTAATTTCCTTAACTTCTTTATTTTTGATATGATACTAGCATGCAAAAAAAAAAAAAAGGATGATCAATTGTCCGATATTCTCATCGTGTGTACAGGGCTTTAAAGGGTTAGTTCACCTTTACCAAAAAACTGCCTATGCAGATAAGGGGTGTCTGTAAATAACAACTAACTGTGCAACTGTGACTAAAGTTGAACAATGCCCTTGCTATAGGTGTAGGCCATTTTCATACCTCTTGGAGCCTGACTTTGCTACATTTCATGCAGAAAGGATAGAAAGCAAATGGATGGCATCACCGAGAGTTGATGGATTGACCAGTAGAGGATTTTCAGGGAACATACTAGACCGGAAGTGACAAATACAGACAGAAATAAAAATGCTTCCTTCAGTAGAGTTGGGGAAGGTTAGAACCCCTGTTCCCTTTTTATATTCCCTGTCCTTGCTGTAGATTTTTCCTTACTTCTAGTCATTGTCAGAGGAACAGGAAGTGAAAGTAAATCTCCCTAAAGCTGGCCATAGATGATTCAAATATGGCCAGTTCAGCAAGGAATGGCCGAGATTAGAACCACGTATGGGCAGGATGAATGTACCAGTTTAGCAAGGATACAATCGATCAACTTGGATACAACTAGCCTGTCCGATTTTATAAGCTGTTATCACTAGCGGCTATTATAGTCACTAGTAGTAATCACTGTGTTCTCCCTTCATGGCCGGCTCCCCCCAACCAGGACACGATGGCTCTGCACAATGGCTCACAATGGCTCTGCTGGAGAGATTCCACCATCAACACCAACTGTATTCATGGGGGAATTGAGCAATTTTCTTTCCTGCAACCAAAGAAAATCGCTCCATCTATGGCTGGCTTTACAGGAACATGGATATCCGTCATACATGACATGAGTTCTAACCCTTCCATATTCTATCCAACCTGGAAATAAGCTTTAAGTGCTGCTTTAAACTTTTAAAATACATTTTCTTATTCAAATGAAATTCAGTATTTGTAAGAAGGCAATTATTGCTAATGTCACTATTATCTCTGGAGGTTCTTATACAGAGGATGAGTAAATGGTGAATTCTCTCTGCTCTGCACAGAGACGGATCACATGTGTACCATTTGTCATTTACTGAAGCCTCTCTAACACTGGTAGTTCATTTTCAGCACAAGAAGTCATTCAAATTAATTGATCTCTCACAAGAGAACACTAGAAGCTTCTGGAAACAGATGATACTTGGACTACAGGACGTTACATGATATAAAGAAAAAAAATCAATTAAAAAATCTCTTGAATGAAAGCAATAGTTATGCTATTGTGTTGAAAAACACAGAATATACTGAAATATGGAACAAGCTAGAAAAGGTTTAGCTCAGTGTGCTGTGCTGGGGGGTGCATGAGTGTGCCACAGCATCTTCAAAAATTCTATTAGCACCCCCATCAGCATTCACCTGGTTAGGCTCAGACTGTCTCATTGAGATTCAGTGGATTGACACTAGAAGATCCATTTCAGAGCCTCCTAGACTGTCTTGTCTCCACCTATTCCATTTTACAATGGGTCCGTGGCATGGAGCAGGGTGTCCCTTTTCAGGGCCGATGACAGACAGGCTGCTGAGCAGTGGCATTTCTTGCACCAGGGGACTACCTACAGTTGCATCAATTAAGGAAGTATCCGCTGTATATGGGACTTTAAAGGCAGCACCAATCAATGAGCCAAAACCAAAAAACATAAAATAAAAATTACCATAATTTTATTTCAATTCCATTTAAAAGACAATATAGTAACAATTATGTGATCATAATTGCATGTGGTTGCATACAGAGTCATACATATATTTTACAGTCAAGCATCCGACGCGTTTCGAGATCAATAGACTTCTCTTCTTCAGGGATACAATAGCTGACTATGATATATTATATAATAGGAACCATAATACATATGAACATCCTAAAAACACGTTTTTTACATGACTCTAGCTGCACAGAGGCTGTAGCAGTACAGGTGTGTTTGTGGGGGAGGTTACAGTCATGGAACCCATATTGGGGATGCAGTGGTGAAACAGTGGGGAGGAGGGGGTACAGTGGAGGAACAGATGTGCAGGAGAGGGTTTAGAAGTGAAACACATGTACAGGGGCACAGTAGTGAAAAAGTGGGCAGGAGGTACAGTGAGCTTGCAGCACAGCTACAGAACTGACCTCACTGTGCTCTCTTGCCTAGTGCGGTCAGTTTTTAATAGCAAAGCAGAGGGACTGGCAGGAACACCAGGGATTTCACACAAAGGAAGCAATACAAAGAGAACAAGATCATTTTTCCTACAAGTATAGTAGGCACATATCAGGAATATGAAATGTAGGGTTTACAAATTCTCTAACTCCTGTGCCCATGGGCAGACGTTTCATTATTTCCCACTAGCCAATCAAGGCAGCCAAAAACCCAGCCCCAGAAAAAGCAAAGGAGAAGATGTTAGCATCTGCGAGGAACTGAGGGGGTTAAGTATTTGCAGACTTTTTTTTCTGCTTTAAAGTGTATTTACAACCAAAATATTATTTGTTTTTTTTTTTTAATTATAATAGGGATTGTTTAAAACTCCTGTCAGGTTTTACTCCTATCCAAGGCTCTGTAAGACCCCGGTGTGACTTGGTATGCGATTTGCATGTCATGCGACTTGCAAGCTGCATGCCAAGTCGCACCCTATTGTCCACAATTACAGAGGACATATCGGTGTGGTTTTATCTTGGTCAGATTTCTAAAGTAGTACATCCACTACTTACGGTGCGATTTGCATAGACATCTGTGTCATATGTCTTGCAAATCGTACCTAAAATCGGCATGTCCCCCAACTTTGAAATCGTGCGACTTCACTGTAAGTTGCACGATTTTCAAAGTCGGGCTTGATATGATCGGGGTATAAGAGGGATTCCCCCTCCTTTTTCCGTTCTCAGGCTAATCTTTTACTAGACTAGAAGTGAGGGAAAATCCTAGAAACAGACAATGCAAAAAGTGGAGTTCCAGCCCCCGCCACCTCCCCCTCCAAAAAAAAAAATCAGCAGCTACAAACACTGTGGCTGCTCACTTTTAGTATTAGGGAACTTACCTGTCCATGCATCCAGTGGTATCCTCACCCCAAGCCGATTCTTCAATCAGCTGTCGAGTGCTGATTCTGCCATCTTAACTAAGGGAAACCAGCAGGGAAGCCTTGCAGCTTCACCTCCGGTCTCCTACTGTGCATGTGCAAAGTGCGCTGAGCTTTGTGAATGGGCCGCAGTCCTCTGGGATCTTGGAAGTGTCCCAGAGGGCTGCGGGGGGTGCCGAACTGAGCCGGAATTGGGAGTGAGTACCCGTCAAAACCAGATACCTGCTCCCAACTCCCTCCCAAAAGGTGCCAAATGTGGCAGCTGAGGTGGGGGGGGGGGTGAGGAGGCAGAAAAGCCTCCACTTTAACTTAAAAAGAAAAAGCATTTTTACTTCTGTTGCTGTTACAGAAATTTCCCATCCTGAGGACAACCCTGTTACTAGACAGGAAGTCTATAGAATTATATCAAAGAAATAGAATTCTAGGATGCATTACTAGAGGGGTCACCAGCAGGAGGAAGGAGGTCCTGCTTCCCCTATAAAGATCTTTAGTTAGACCTCATTTAGAATACTGTGTCCAGTTCTGGAGACCTCCCTTACAAAAAGATATTGAGAAGATAGAACAAGTCCAGAGACGGGTAACAAAAAGGTCTGGGGGATAAAACATATCAACAGCGACTTCAGGAACTTAAGGGAAAAGGGAGACATGATTGAAACCTTTAAATACATCAAGAGGGTAAATAAGGTTCAGGAGGGCAGTATTTTAAACATAAAACCAAAATCAAAAACACGGGGACATGACCTTAAACTAACTGAAGGAAAGTTCAAAACTAACCTTAGAAAGAAGTACTATTTCACTGAAAGAGTAGTTGATGCTTGGAATAAATTTCTAGCAGAGGTAGTGAGCCAGTCAACAGTAAATAGCTTCAAATATGCTTTGGACAAGCATAGATCTAAACTTAGACAAAAAAGCTAGCAAAAAAAACCCCAAAAACAAAAAAAACACACCAGAAAAACCAAAAACAAAAAAAAAAAACAACCCCCCCCCCCAAAAAAAACAAAAAAAAAACAACTAAATACGCACAAAAAAATGGGCAGACTCGATGGACCACTGGGTCTTTTTCTGCGATCACTGTTTCATGTTTCTAAGTGACAGCAGTAAAATCTGACAGTTCTAA